ATATCAATTCCTCCAGCTTCTTCTACTTCTTGGCAAAACTCTTGACGAACTAAAAGGGCCGCTATGGTCAACATTATGTCATTCATTAAACGCTCATCTCCCTTGAAATCTATATTAAATTTACAATTTCACTGTAAATGTAAATAAATTTATCAATTATATTATTTTACTTGATAAAAGTGATGTGATGGAACGCAAAGTGTCTCCAGCTATGATTTTTGCATGATCATGAGCTTTTCCAAACTCGACTCTTACATCATCATCTAAAACAAGTGCTCTTAAGACACCCAGGACATCTCTTAATAGGAATGAATCAGCATTATTAAGCAATGGCTTCAAATGCCCCAAAATATCTGCATCAAATATTGCTTGTCTGAAACTCAAATCATAAACAACTGTTGTATCCCATTGTAAATATTAATAATTGCTTCACCTATTCATTTCATGCATTATACAGCATTCTTTAACCCACTTTAGTGTTAATCTTTGAATTTCTGGGTCTTTTTGATTCTCCAGTATATTACCTATTACTTCTATTCCTTTTGTATCTAACAAATCAGGTTGTTTAGTCATTAATGATATTAATGTTTTAAGGCATTCCTTCAACAACTCTTCATCGTTTAAATCTTTTAACAATATACTTAAAATGGAAGAATATGCATTCCCTTTTCCTATAACAATATGATTATATGTATAATTACTACAATTCTAAATATTACTGTAACTGATTATGAAGGATTAATGAAATTCATAGTACAATTGTATTAATTGTTAATACCTGCTAATACTCGGTATTCCAAACCCTTATCACATTCACGTCTAACTACAGATAAACGTTCAGTATATTCATGTAATTGTCTTTTATTTTCGTCTTTTGCAATCTCTTGCAATTGGTTAACAGTTACTTCAATTAAGTGGGTCAGACTTGATCCTGGTTTCTGTTCTAAATTCTTCACAATTCTACTCAAATCTACTCCCTAGAAAAGAAATGGATTATTAAAATACTTCTTTTACGCAAATATGTCATTGTAATAGACCACCTGAGCTTTAAACTGTTTATTCGCTTCTTCAATTGCTTCTTCACAAGATATTTCTAATTCTTCCATAAGTTCTCTTACTGCATCATCGTAGGTTTGTTGACTTATTGTGAGTGCCATTATAAATTTTAAAGTGAAAATAACAAATCTATTTTTGTTTGTTAAATAGTTTGAATGATAATTTAATTCATTACTTTCCAGTTATAACAGATACTTTATTTATTGGTCAGCAAAATTTGAATGACAAATTGACAACCATTTGACAACTAAAATCATAAATAAAAATTCTATGACTGAATCACTGAATTCAAACGTCAAAATTCGAAGTTATAAAGCAAAGTATGCTGATAGATTAATCAGTCTTACCATAGATATCGGCTCATGAATAGGTTCAAAAACACGGGTGATACCAGTAAAAGTACCTTTTTGTCGCTTGCTAACGAATACAATCAACCGAATTCATTTTTTTAATGTCTAATTAACGTTACCTATAAGTGTACTGTACACAACTTTACAGCCTAAATCACGAAGGGCTGATTTAGTATCGAATTCAATAGTAGGAAAATTCTTCAAATTATTTTCTAAAATTTTATCTGTACCCAATGTCAAGAACTTTTTTATCTGGTTACGACTACGAGAAACCATATTCCTTATAGCCCAACTGCCATTTTTCTGCGAAAAAATTAAATGAATGAATTTTATAAATTCATAACAATTTCCATTTTCTTTTGGTAGGTAATAAGAGGTGAGCCCCTTTTAGGTTATTTAGTTATTACAGTCTCCTTTATTATTCTTCTTGAAATCCATATGGTAAAAAAGACTGACTGATAAATAAAACCACATTTTTTGAAAAACGAGCAACGTTTGTATATTCTTAATCAATTTTGAATTACGAACAGGCAACTCATCATAAGAATCTCGCACTGTTACGTGCTGTACTATTTACATGTAATCGCGTTCACGAAAAAGGTTCCGATGATTTCGATGAAATTTGGTATGTAGTTATTGGGGGTTTGATAAATCTGTCTAAATGGGCGTCATCAGAGACAAACACCGTTTTCATGCATACCGCGAGAAAAGTTCGAATAACCAATATTAATTTATTAATAATGTACAATATTTTTCTCATATTATATAAGTATTTAATCCCAAACTCACCTGTACATTAATATCGTCTTTATGTAAAGTCATACAATCCACAATTACATCAGGCGCACCAGCGTTAAATAAAGCATTACTGTTATTTGCTGCTCTTAGAGTAAGAGCAGCTATTGCTCCAAAGCCAGCAGTTACTGATTGAGGAGAGCTCTGCAAGGAGTTGAATATACATTTAAAAATATGTAACAGCAGACGAAAATGAGAAACCAAAATGCATACCTTATTTTCATCTAATGCGCTTATAATTAAGGGAGCAGCTCCCTTTTCAATAAAATTTATTTTGCATGTATCACTTCCACATAATGCTTTTATCAACTTAAAAGACTGACGAACTAGTTTCTAAAAGAAATAAATTATAAAAATAGATATATACAAATATCTATATCTATTTCAGTGGCGGCTAGTATATATAAAATCGCCTTTTCCATTTAAATAGTGGGCTATTTTTTTAATACAATAAAACGACATTTGATAGTCGTAAATTTCATAAAATGACGTAAAAATTTTGGCAAATATAATAATCTGGATGGGTATATGACAATCCCTATACATTACAATAATAGCAATCTATTCAGTAAAATATAATATAATATAATTACAGCGATCTTTACGTTTTTGAGGTCGTATACTCATAAAGTTCTCTCCAAAAATTCACACATTCACTTGGCCTATTTTCAATAAAAATACAACGCAGTCACGAAAAATAAAATGCCCACAGCTGTAACACATCTATAAGCCGTCACTGAGTTAATTAGCCTGCCTTTACCTCATTATCATGATATAGTGTTAAAACCTCTTTAATAATATCAATTCCTCCAGCTTCTTCTACTTCTTGGCAAAACTCTTGACGAACTAAAAGGGCCGCTATGGTCAACATTATGTCATTCATTAAACGCTCATCTCCCTTGAAATCTATATTAAATTTACAATTTCACTGTAAATGTAAATAAATTTATCAATTATATTATTTTACTTGATAAAAGTGATGTGATGGAACGCAAAGTGTCTCCAGCTATGATTTTTGCATGATCATGAGCTTTTCCAAACTCGACTCTTACATCATCATCTAAAACAAGTGCTCTTAAGACACCCAGGACATCTCTTAATAGGAATGAATCAGCATTATTAAGCAATGGCTTCAAATGCCCCAAAATATCTGCATCAAATATTGCTTGTCTGAAACTCAAATCATAAACAACTGTTGTATCCCATTGTAAATATTAATAATTGCTTCACCTATTCATTTCATGCATTATACAGCATTCTTTAACCCACTTTAGTGTTAATCTTTGAATTTCTGGGTCTTTTTGATTCTCCAGTATATTACCTATTACTTCTATTCCTTTTGTATCTAACAAATCAGGTTGTTTAGTCATTAATGATATTAATGTTTTAAGGCATTCCTTCAACAACTCTTCATCGTTTAAATCTTTTAACAATATACTTAAAATGGAAGAATATGCATTCCCTTTTCCTATAACAATATGATTATATGTATAATTACTACAATTCTAAATATTACTGTAACTGATTATGAAGGATTAATGAAATTCATAGTACAATTGTATTAATTGTTAATACCTGCTAATACTCGGTATTCCAAACCCTTATCACATTCACGTCTAACTACAGATAAACGTTCAGTATATTCATGTAATTGTCTTTTATTTTCGTCTTTTGCAATCTCTTGCAATTGGTTAACAGTTACTTCAATTAAGTGGGTCAGACTTGATCCTGGTTTCTGTTCTAAATTCTTCACAATTCTACTCAAATCTACTCCCTAGAAAAGAAATGGATTATTAAAATACTTCTTTTACGCAAATATGTCATTGTAATAGACCACCTGAGCTTTAAACTGTTTATTCGCTTCTTCAATTGCTTCTTCACAAGATATTTCTAATTCTTCCATAAGTTCTCTTACTGCATCATCGTAGGTTTGTTGACTTATTGTGAGTGCCATTATAAATTTTAAAGTGAAAATAACAAATCTATTTTTGTTTGTTAAATAGTTTGAATGATAATTTAATTCATTACTTTCCAGTTATAACAGATACTTTATTTATTGGTCAGCAAAATTTGAATGACAAATTGACAACCATTTGACAACTAAAATCATAAATAAAAATTCTATGACTGAATCACTGAATTCAAACGTCAAAATTCGAAGTTATAAAGCAAAGTATGCTGATAGATTAATCAGTCTTACCATAGATATCGGCTCATGAATAGGTTCAAAAACACGGGTGATACCAGTAAAAGTACCTTTTTGTCGCTTGCTAACGAATACAATCAACCGAATTCATTTTTTTAATGTCTAATTAACGTTACCTATAAGTGTACTGTACACGTATTTTATTTAAAAGGAAAAAATGATTATAAAATTATAAAAATGTCCCCAATACAAACAATATTTTACATACTCTACTAAAACTACTAATTGTCATCTACCGTCCATAGGGATGAATTTGAGTAGCACTCTTGATATTTGTTTTAATCGCAGAAGGAGCTTTATTCATAGTCATTGGCTGTGTAGAAGGTGGTAAATTACTTTGTCCTGGTGGACCACTAGGACGGCCCGGTCCTTGAGAGCCAACAATCATACTATTTCCTTGATTAGTTTGGTTATTAGGATTATTCACCATCTAGAAATATAATCAAAATTGTAATTTAAAAACATTTTTACACTTCTGTATTAATAAAGAATTGTTACATTTCTAATATATTATTAGGCTTGACGTTTCCAAATTTTAGCAAGAAAATGAACATGCTATAATTTTCTGGTTTAGAAACAAGACAACAGAAAAAATAAATATATATGTAACGAAATGAATGATTGTCAAGTACAATTTTCAATCAAATCAGATATTTCTAAACTTTATGTCGATTTAATATGCCAAATAGTGCTATCGCAGTAGACAGGGAAATTTAAATGGTAACCATGGTAAACTACCAATGCGCAAAGTGCTCACGTTGGCTCACCGCGCATCTATGCCTATGTGTATTCTCATAATATTCTAGTCCGTTTATTACATTTATTTGTTTAGATTAACAACACTATATTTTCTTTTATATCTTTAAATCCTAAAGTGTCATAACAGAAAGAAGACTAGAGATAAGAGCAATAACTTAAAATCCTAACGAACGAGTCTAAAAAGCATATCACTAATAAAGGATAGAAAACGCAACCATCTGCTTAGCGATAAGCGACTGGGTATCAATTTCGACATTATCAATTATTAAACACAAAACGGAAACAAAATCTCTTGCCTGAGCGTCATATAGAATGCTTTACAAATTAGTCACGCTCTTGCGGTTCACGTTAAATAAGTCATGCAGTTTCTGCTCTCACTCTCTCTCTCTCTCTCTTTTCTTGATAATTTACCATGGTTACTATTTTCAGCGCAAAGCCTGACCAATAAATGACGTTTGAAAAGGTATAATTGCTGAAAATTAACTGCTAAAAACGTGCAAGCCTCTATAAAGAAAAACCTAGTTCATAGCTTATAGACTTGCTATAACCGAAGTGACCAAACTGCCGTTATTTTTGGTTTACTGATCTCTTTATTTTTCACATACTTTGTAAAGCTATTGTATATGCATATACTTAGTTTAATTCATTCAAGAGATATAGCAGAATAACAGTCACATGAAATCACTTTTTTTTTACTTTGTGAAAACTTGTTCAAACATCTATTTTATTGTATTTTTATATTTTATATCATAAAATATTCAAAGAACATCCTAATGACCAGGACGGTGGGCAACCCTACATAATCTGTATGTATTATGCACATACCTTGAGACCTTTTCCCATACCCACAGCAGCAACCAATAAATGTGTATCAGCAACACTAGAATTTTGTTGTGTACTTCCTCTTGCTGATGATTCAACTTCCCATTCTTCTCTTGCTTTGTTTACAATATCCCAAACATGCGAAACAACTTTCTGATAAGCAGCTACTTGTTTCTGTAATTAAAAAATGTAAGACTGTTTTATTATCAAAAGGAAATTTCATTTGCTTAAATGTTTAAGTGTTATCAAAAATCATAATATCATTTTTAGTAAAACACTACAGTTTAGTGTTATTTTGATTAAATATTACCTGAAGCCTAAGGACAACCTAATTTAGTTCTAAGAGCTGCAAAGAATCAATGTTCGATTTAGCGGCTAGGTTTTTTTAAAGAAAAATTACATATTTTTACTCCTCTCGGGATAACAAATAAGAATATATAAACTACTTTTCATATGTTTATAAAATAAAAACAGGAACTTCATAAATATCAGGCTAATCATCAGTTTTTACACATCTACAGTTTAAGTTACTCTGACTTTTGGCTGTTAACTCTCACATTTACAGGCTTCATAATAAAATATAAGCCTCACAAATTCCTAAGGAGAAAAACAATGGCAAAATCAGTAAACCACATAAACTTTGTAATATATGACCGTTAAAATTTTAAATTTGCCAAAATAATTACAAGGAAATCAATTTAAATATATACAATTGCACTAATGTAATAAATAACATCATATGTAAAAAGTATGTAAGCTACATATGTATAACATACTCTAATTAATCAAATACATACAGCAGAATTAAATAGTGATATTGAAATAATACCTGTGCATTTTCATATGCCAGTGTTGCAGCTTTATGTTCTAAATTTAACATTTTACTTTCAGCTGATGGTTCCAACTTCGTTCTTAAATAATCAGGTACCAAGTCATGAGCAAAAGTGGTAACTCTACCTTCAGTTAACTGTGCCAGTTGATCGTCCCTTTCAGGTGATAATAACAATGGTAACACAGTTAAATTCCTCAATGTTGGGCATTTATCATGACTTAATAATTTGGAAAGAGACGTAAGCTGAAAGCAGACCATACTGTATTATTGAAACAACTTGTTAGAATTCATACCTGGCCTGAAATTAAAGCAAAATTGTCTAGAAACGTAGGCCAGCTAAGAGTTTCATACTCATTCTCAATTTTATAAATCATGGATGAGATAGATGTTTTTAAATCATTTACTCGTTGTATTATAGCGTCCAGAGCTGATTCAAGTTGTTTCTCATCTCTCGCTTGCTGCATTGTGTTACCTAATGTAACTACTTTTTAAAAAACAATAACAATTTTTTTTTTGCAATTATGAATAAGGTTATGTGTCGTTACCTACAAACATCTATCATAAATCATAGTGACTATCGTGACGTAACATTTTTTGGTCGGTGCAGTTTTGTGTTATCTATTATGTGGATTTGATATCTGAATAATAAATTATTATTAATAAATTATTTGAACACAATTATAACACAATTGACCCCAATCAACCACCATAGGTAACCAACGGACAATAATATGGACAATAATTTCGTGAAAATGGTGACAGTTATCTATGGTGAAATTCACTGATTGTAAACATAACAGCAAGGTTATTTAATACGTTTTATTTTTCAAAATATTTTTATTTAAACTACGTAAAACTTTTATAAAACTATATTTTCAAGCTTCAAGATTAAAACCTACAATACAAATGTTTGGTACGAAGTCATGTACTTTAGTTTCACTAACTGAAAATGATAAAAAAATTGTCTTACCGCATAATGAAATCATTTACATAGGAAGAAATCCAATTACTGAAATAAAAGACTTACATCTATCTCGTAATCAGTTGTCAATTCAGGCGAATTACGATACAGTTGAAGTTGTTGCAAGTGTTGTTGGAAGCAACTATTCAGAATGTAATGGTTACATTATGGAGAAGAATGAAGTTTATAGATTAAAGCATGGTGATATATTAGCATTAAAGTCAAATCAATATCAATATGAAATTGTATTTGATCCACCACCACCACAATCAGACTATGTTATAAATGAAAACTCAAAACGTGAAGGCAGTGACCAAGGCCTTGAACCTGAAACAAAAAGACCTAAATTAAACTTTCCAGTGTTTGATTGTTCGAAACAAAATATTTCAAAAGCCAATGTAGAGGAGAACACTATTAGTGGAAATTGGGAAATAATTGATAGACTGTGTTTAATTTTTACATCAACTAATTTTAAACCCTCACCAAAGATTGCTGCCTTTGACTTAGATGGTACAATAATTCGAGTAAAGTCTGGTGCCCAGTTTCCAAAAAATAAAGATGATTGGGATCTTTGGAATGTCATTGTACCAAAAAAACTTAGAGAACTAACTGCTGATGGTTATTCCATTGTAATATTCAGTAATCAAGCTGCAATTAAACAAGATCAGTCCAAAGTAAAAGAGTTCAAAGAAAAAATAAGTAACATATTACAAAAGATAAATATTCCTATAATAGTATTTATATCTACAGATAAAAGTATTTATCGAAAGCCAGTTCCAGGTATGTGGGATTTATTCACCAAAAAGTATAATTCTAAACTTGATGTTGACTATTCCAACTCATTTTATGTTGGTGATGCAGCAGGTAGACCTAAAAGTTGGGCATCTAGTAAAAAGAAAGATCATTCACTTGTAGACCGCTTATTTGCTGAAAATATTGGACTTAAGTTTTACACTCCTGAAGAATTATTTTTGGGAAATAAACCTGGGGAATACAATAAACCAAGTTTTGATCCACAGCTTGTGTTTTCTACTCCAAAAAAGTCCCCACCTCTCATTAGTTCGAATTGTGAACTTGTGGTCATGGTAGGGTTTCCTGGTTCAGGGAAAAGCACTTTTTGTAAAGAAAATTTAGTTAAGAATGGTTATATTTATGCAAATAGAGATACATTGGGTTCTTGGCAAAAATGTGCAAAGGTTGTTGAAGAGGGGTTGCAAAATGGAAAATCGGTTGTAGTAGATAATACCAATCCGGATGTAGAATCTCGAAAAAGATTTATTACTCTTGCTAAAAAGTTTAACATTCCTTGTAGATGCTTTATAATGAATGTTGATCTCAATCATGCGAAGCATAATAATAAGTTCAGAGAACTGACTGATAAACGTGTAAAAGTGACTGATGCAGTTATACATAGCTATAATAAGAACTATAAAGAACCAACACTAGATGAAGGATTTAATGAAATTGTTCGTGTAGACTTTGTCCCTGTCTTTGAAAATCCGGAAAAGGAAAAGTTATACAAAATGTTTTTGCTTGAAAATTAATTTCGTCACTTTATATTTCAAATTATGATATGTATGATATTGTTTTTTGATAATTATATATTTTTTATAAACTGCAATGTGTTTTTAATTAATCATGTAAATTTACTTGTTATTTAATTAAAACACGTTTAGTTACCAAGGTTTTATGATAAAACTAGCCCTTCCCCGCGGCTTCGCTCGCAGAAATTAATATTGTTTCTCCACAAAACCTTTTAACTCCAAATTCACCCTTACAACGTTTTAATTTTATGTGATGTCGCCATCTTAGATTTCAAATACAAACGTAGTAATGACATTTCATCCTTAAGGGTTGATTTTTAAAAATTGCCAAAACACGTATTTGCTTAATTTCAACAATGAGCAACCTTTGAGTAAATCCGAGTACAAATAAAATATACCCCATGAAAACGTTGCAACCTCTTTTCATTTGATTAATAATATCAAACAGCATATGTCCCAAACAAAAATTGCAACACCTTTTTACCCTCCTCCTCTTTGCAGGTTGAATTTTTTAAAATGTCGAGATAGGTCTTTCAGAAATTAAATGAGAGACCATTAAGACCAAGTTTCAAGTAAATCTGACGACAAATAATATGTTCCACTTAAACATTGCAACTCCTCCTCACCACTTCCCCCACCCCCCAGGGGAACTGGATAAATAGTATACTATGTCCGTCTCCTGGTTGTAAGCTACCTCCCAAACCAATTTTCAGCCAAATCGGTTCAGCCGCTCTTCAGTTAAAAATAGTGTAACTAACACGACTTTCTTTCATGTATATAAATTGGCGCATCTCAAAAGTGTTGTAGTCTAATACACGGATACAGTAAAATACAATAAAATCTATAATGTTATAATTTATATGTACATTACATTTTATTCATATAATACTGGCTTTGCATACTACATATTATAAAATTAGTACGGATAGAATAACATTATTGAATACAAGAAAATCATATTGTACTCCAAGTGCTTTCAGAAAATGAAAATTTATTTCAAAAGAAATCAAAGAAGCGACCTACACAACAAAAAATTTTTGTTATGACGATACTACCAATTTCTGGTGCAGGTGAATGTAACTTAAATACGTTTCCATTTTGAATGTGGAAGTAAATGCCATTTTGGCGAATAATAATAATAGTAATGTTCCCTCTCAACCGCTTAATTAAAAAAGTGAACTTTGCTTTTTACTACATCAATATACGGATTATAAAAAAATCAAGATTCTGAAATGCAAAAAGCACTCTACAAAGTTTGATAAAGATTATAAAACAATTTCCAGTTTTATAAACGTTTACGATCGTTTTCATATCAAACATTCTTTCAATGTGAAAGAACAACCATCTTTTCCAATACAAACTTCTCATAATAAAATTTCAAAATACTACTTCGATCGTGCAATTAAGAGAAATACTTCTTCTAATGTTGTTTCAGAGATATTGTAATCTTCAATTATCGTGTGCCTGCTTTTCAACTCTTCGATTTTTTTAAATAGTTTGCTCCAGGTAATTGAAGAGTCATTTATGTGATAGTGTAACAGACCCTGAAAGAAAAGAAATATTTAACAAATTAATAAAAGAGAAATGCTATCTAATCTCTAATGATATGCATATAAATAAAATAGAAACGGCTGTCTGTAATGTCGAAATAATTGCCCTTTTTTAAGTTCATAATATGGTTATTTAAATAGTATTAAGATAGAAACAATCCCTAAAAAATGTAGACATAAATAGGTTGTCAAAAATTATCTTGGTTATTTTTTTTATTGTTTGTTGGTTTTAACAATTGTATTTACTTTAAACAATTACAAACTGCAATGTCGCGGATCAAAGCTAAACAATAAATATAAAGTAGCGACTCAAAACTAAATTAAACTGTTTGAAAAACATTCCCATAATAAAAGAATATCGAACAATACCTTCTTCAATTTGTGATATTAGAGTATATGTTAGTAGTATACATTTGCAAATTACTAGTACGATTTCCTTATATGGCAGTTTTAAGCACTGACAGTGTTTAAATTTTTTAAAAATTATCTTTAATACCGATAAGATTACAGATTTCTGTGTTTGTGTATCATTTTCCGATATAATTTTAATATATTTATACAAAACCAAAATACGATTCGATATGTCTTACATAACGTATTTTTAATAATCATATTAAATATAACATACATATACTAGGTATCTTACAGTGACCACCTAATAGAATATTTCGGAAACTACTTTTGTACAATGGCGTTATTGGGTATGCTCTTCTCAATTAAAATAACCACATCTATATAGCACTTCCGGTTTATGACGGTTTTGAATTCTACTTATGTTTCTTGGTAAACATTCATAAGGCTTTTCTACTTCTAAAAATTTACTGTTTTCAAGATACCATTTTTTTTTAATTAGCACAGAGCAGTAGGTGGTGAAAAGCATCCCTGTTTTATACTAAGAAAGCTGAGGCAATAATATTTTTAGAAGAGATAGCTATACCCTCAAGCTTCCCGTCCATACTTCCAAAGTGGGTCAATTATATACAGGGTGTTAGAAAATTTAATGGCGGATTTGGTTTTCAAACAATTCAAGTCCATTTTTTCAAATGGAACACCTAATATGTGTTTTCATAGCCATATGCAAAGTTTTATTCTCTTTCAAATGGTACTATGATTCCCTGTACCCATCTCTTCTAACCGGAAGTGCTACATAGATGCCGTTATTTTAATTGAGGAGAGCATACCCACTTAACGTCATTGTACAAATTTTCAAATTTTAAATCCAAGTAATTTCTGAAATATTGTAACAGGCCGTCACCGTGAGACACCCTGTATATGAGAAACTAAACAGTTATATAAATACATATTCTTACACTGTGTTCATCTTTAAGTTCACATGAATATTGACTTTCAAAATCCTCTTTCAGCTTTTGGATTCTTTTATCATCCTCATTAGGGGGGAGCAATGCATCTGTATCCTTGTGACCGTGAGTAACAATAGATAGCATTGGTTTTAATTTCAAATACACTGTAAATCCCTGGCCATATTTCTGTTTTAACTGTGGTATAGTGCCCAGACATTGTAGCTGACCATCTTTCATTATTGCTAACCTAATAATAATCGTATGATTAATAAAAACATTTCTATTAATTTAAAATATAAACATTTACTTATTGCAAAGTACTTCACATTCCTCCATACTATGAGACGTTAGTATTATAGGATTACAATTTCTGTTAGTATCCATTTGAATTTCGCTTAGCACATTCCACAACTTCCGCCTTGATGCGGGATCCACACCACTGGTCGGTTCGTCTAGCATAGTTACAGGTTGATTTCCAATCAAAGCGATTGCCATGCTTAGTTTTCTCTTATTTCCACCGCTGTATTCCCCACAAGGTTGATCTGCCCATTCCGCCAATCCCAAAACATTGATCCAGGACTCCACTTCCTTCTTGCACTCTTCTTCCGCTAATCCCCTCAATTTTGCGAACAATTCCAAAATTACACGACCAGGTAATAATTCATTTATAGCGTCGAACTGGGGACAGTAACCCACACGTTGCAAATATTCTTGATCGTTTATGCTAAAGAAAGCGTTATCGTATATGCGAGCATCACCCCCTGTGCATGGTTCACTTCCAGTTAGCATCCGAAATGTTGTTGTTTTGCCGGCCCCATTCACTCCTAGCAAACCGAAACATTCTCGTTTATCAACTCCGAATGAGATTCCTCTCACAACTTTCTTTCTCCCGAATGTCTTTTGCAAATTGTCCACGAGCAAAACATCTGGAGAGTCTTCTGCAATATAAATGCGCATTAAAAATTACTCAAATGCGATAATTATTTATTTTAAAAATCATTTTGTTCGCTAAACGTTTGAAAATTAGTCACAATTTTATTACATTACATATTTCCTACATACAACGTGCAAATTATTTAGTAAACAAAAAAGCAGTACATCGACGGCCTCAGACCTCATGGCGGTGAAATAATAAGTGGATAATAATAAGAAGAACGCCTTTTTTTAAGAGGGAGGGCTGCACCACCACGTGTGTAGCGCACATATCTCTTTGAATATAAGTACCATATATCTAATACTACTTTATTACTAAGCACGTTACCATCACGGTGCACAACTACTTCGAGTATTACGTCCGAGAAGCACTGGAGTTGCGATACTTCTGGACGAGTCGAGTAGCGTAAGAGAGCAGTCGTTTGCTGCATCTCTTACATAGTCTGTGACATCCGCTTACGGCCGCAAGCAATATAAAGGTATTAGATATATGATAAAAATACACTGTTTAAGAGAATCGTCGGACAATTTATCATACTTTGGACTATACAATACAAAATAAGTATAGAGGAACGAAATACTCTGGCATTGGATGATTTTAAAGTTTCCTTAAATGTATCCTAGCTGCAGTTATGTACACTACAGTAAACCAAAATACCAGCACAACGAGTAAGACTTTCGGCAGACGGCTTAAAATCTTATCAACTCCACGGTCCACATTGTGTTGCTTTTTTCTAGTGGGAGATAAAAAAAATTGTAAAACAAGAATCATAAAGCCAAATAATAATAACTTATTAAAACAAAGTGTGCAAGGTATGAACAACAATCATTTGCATCACTTATACTTACATGACTTACTTAAATGCATTCACTGATTTCTTAATCTTAACATCTCTTATATTTGATGTTACCAAATTGTTACGCCCAACCTTTGTCTTTTTCATGAATTCGGCACTTTCGTTACCATACGTGGTTTTCTGGTTGATTTCCTGTTGTTATCCGTCATGATAGAATATGTTGGTCTTGCCCTTGACCATTTGCCCTAATATTGCGGTTTGAACGTCTTCGGAGTAAAAAACTGCGTGAATTTGAATGGGGTTGGTTCTTCAATTTCTCCACCATGTGTCGTCTCATGTTGTTTAGATCCGTCTGGAGGGAATGTATAAGGTGACCATACTCCCGCTTTGGGAGGGACAGTCCCACTTTCAGACTGTCCGTCTCGCTGTCCCCAGCGAGGACATAAAAGTCCCGCTTTCGCAAACAGACCAAATGATAATTTAATTTACAATTATGTTGTACCTATGTCACAATGTGACGAGTGAAAAGGCACAGTTGAGCGTCTCAGTATTGCAATCCCATTTTGATTACAAAGATTAACATCAATAAATCGTGTACTGAGGTCTATTCGTTACTAAAAACGAAACCAGAGTGGTCACCAATGTAGTTCATTATTGTCCATACGTTCTTTAGTCGGGGTCACCACTGTAGTCGATTAAGGACTATCGGAAATTGTAGTTCTGATAAGAACCGATTTTATAAAAACGTTGGACACATTTCTGCATCAATGATGAGTTTTGACACTATTGCAGCATCCGATGGTTGACACTATTGCAGCATCCAAGGGTTGACATTTTTGCAGCATCCAATGTTGTGTTAGACTAATTTAGTAAATTATTTACATGCTATTTATACTAAAACTATTTACATTGTTCTTATGGCAATAGATGTTTTCGCACTGTGTCGCGATTTAACTAAGTCGGCACAATCGAAGCACTTTAATTGTTACACATTGAAATTGTTTATTGCTATACCGAGTACTCCCACACATACATCAAAAATAGGGAACGTTTAAATTAATATACACAACACTCATTAAAACTTTGAATTACACATAATAAATAAAAATAAGGTAAAAAAAACATGATACACTCATATAAAAATCAATATCAATACCTAATTTTAACTTAAACAAGGTTATCGACATTAATTTATGCTTCAATTTTTCTAATCCCTACACAGGTTTAGTCACTGAACACCAAAAAGTACCTCAAAATAACGTCATTGTTAATATTATCACTTACTTATGCTTGAAAACTGTTTCAACCAAAGAAGAACCAGTTTTCGACACACTAAAGATAAATATTTGAAGTAAATCATACTGATTACGCACAGAACAGCCGGTGTAGTTTTTTGCTTTTTTGTCAGTACCTAAAGAACCAAACTCATCATGATCAAGTTTAAACAATTAAAGGCTTAGTACAGGTCTGTTCGCTGCTTCTTAGAAGATATGAGACTGTCCAAGTTTCATTTGCGTCGTGGTCAAGTTTAAATGAATAGGCACTTAGTTGAGCACTGTCCAATGTTTCAAAACGAATTTAATACTGTCCAAGCTCCATCAACTTTAAAGTTTACCTCCATTACAACATCTTAGATTGTGATATGATTTCTTGTTTCGTTCCTGCTTTGCTTCTAGTTGCTATTTCAAGGTAAAAAATCATTATGAATATAATAATTTTCTAGAAAACTCGGTTTTCTTCTTTTCTCTAGCACACAAATAGGTGAAAAACCACTATTGATCAACTAACCTTCCTGAAAATATGTAGCTTCCTTACGGATTTCCTTATTTTTAGATTCGAGAAGTTTACAATTTTGAATTTTGATGACACTAATTCAAAACTTTGTTGACACTAAACTTCTTAATGTAAGAAATTAAAATAATTTAAATAAAATGCAACAACTAAATACTACAAATATAACAAATGTAACTACAAAATATTGTTGTTAATAGCTTTAAATATTTAACAATTTAAAATAATAAAATAAATAATTTAACAAAATAAGTCACTAATTTTCACTGAAATGAAATGATAGTAACCAATTACGTTCTTTTTTACGGTCCTGACATGAATAGAATAATATTAATGCGCCTCACTTTTTTGATTTAATTAAATACCTTCAACTACCAATCTGCAGTACAAACGATTACAAATAAAGCAGTTTTTTTTATAATTCTTCTGTTCTTTATATGTACATTAAGGTGGTCTAAACGAATATTTTACTTTTTTGGTCTCGCATGAAAATATCGTACACTAATTGAACATGTTTTAATAATGCACATCAAAAATGAGCTCGATTAAAAATTTTAAGACAGTGCATTTTAAAAAATTTCCAAAAGATAAAATATTATTTCTTTAAATTTTTGCGTCATGTTATTGTCTACGTCTTATAAATTGTAAATATTTTTAAAATTTTAAATGAATACATCAAATTATGGAGGTCACTAAGTTTTTTTTTAATTTTTAAAGTAGTGTACATACTTTGGACGTTTCTGAATGACCTGTAAATATTTATTTGTATTACTGCGCCTCACATACTTACACGAATGTTCATACTTCATTAAAACGAATGAGAAAGAACAATAATTCAAAGTTAGACTGGATAACAAACGTATTTCTATCTTTCATAAGTGTGAAAATAATTCTGTTAGAACTCAGTGCAAAAGCAAACTAAACACATAAAACAACCATCGCCACAAATTAACTACTTCGTTATGTTTACTTACCTCTAGCGGTGTCTGTAACGTCTAGTTTAATAGATTTTTCTCGTTTAAGGGTATTATGCACTCTATCGTGTTCGTTTTTCACTTCCCTGTCTAACTGTTCAACTGACTTGTCTGGATGAATCATTTGCAAAATAGTTGTAGAAAACCAGTCCTGCACTTTTTTACCAAAATTCGTTTCTATAATGGCCAATATCACCATGTACCCTAAACTTGATGCGATCATTACCATCAGTTCTGTGCTTATACCTTCTTTCGGTGAGTACAAATATGATCGATACGTAAAACACTGACTGGTATATTCTCCATCTGTTAGGAAAAATTGTGACAATCACGTTTAGTTGCAGAAATAAAAAAAAAAAAAAGTTCTACGAAAAGTAAATCATTCGATTCTTGGCGATATTGTACGATACTGTTCTATATTTTGACAGAACAGCATGTGTATCAAAAGGGATCCTTACTCTGGTTTTCAATAAATTTATAATTATTTATTAAGTGCTAAATAAATGAAATACGCATGAACTCGAAAATTAAGAATAAATGGTACTTTTCATATATGTATGCAGTTTTTAAATGAACATTTGACCAATACTGATAGGTTGTAGTATTTTTTTGTGTTAATTAAATAAATAGTGGTTTTTAGCAGTAGTTGATGCACAAGATCACAAAAGCACGAAACCGCTCATATTCTTTTAGAAGCACACGGAAAAAAGTATAAACATTGACTTTAATTTATAAATGGCGAAATGTAGCAGTATAGAATCTTCTAATAATGGTTTGTTATGTATATTGTGAGATTAAGTAACTTACCACAACACGGATTATGGTCAAAATAGCACTTTCTTTTCTTATCATCATCTGACTTTAACATCCAGTTGTAATTAGAAACAGCCTTGATGGCGAATCGGACGGAAGTATAAGTCATTCCAAATTGGGGCAATACTGGAAATATATACCTCAAAACTTCACCAATTCTTTCATAATAAGCAGCACCGGATAATTCCAAAACCAGCACAATTACAGTCAATATAGTACCAAGAAAAAGGCTACTTATAATAAAGGCAACAAAAGCGCTAGCGGCACTTTTTTTGTAACTGAACAGGTAAGAGAACGGGATACCGCTTACTCCATAGGCAGCCATGATTGCCACCAGTGCGTCTAAAAAAAATCACATGTACTGAAACCTATTAAATATTTAAATTAAGTACTTAAGTAATTAGGAATTATGTCGCACAAATAGGTTAAGGTTGTTCTAATGGTTTGTATGTATAAATTAAAAGTTATTTTATCATTTTTAATTTCTAATTGCATACAACTCGAATGTGGTGCATATTAAATACAGTGAACCAAATAAACTAATTCATACAATAACTGAAGCAAAGCAGTAGTAACAGAAGTAAATTTTTTTTTCACTATATTTCACGATATAGCTTTTTACTACTGATTGATGCAGTAATAATTCTGGTATTTCATTTGATTAACTTATTTCAAGATGGGCTATGTTTTTTTCAGAACTTCTCAAGCATTTTAGCATTTCCTCAATTAGTTTAAAATAATAATGAACAATAAAGTAATGCATTAAACATAACTAAATTTTATCGAAACATGCCGGAAAATGAAATTAATATTTTGGGTTCAATAGAGCTCAAAATTGTCTTTATGTATATCTCCTGCACAATACATATACATATAAAAAAAATTCCAAAGTTTGTGGTACAACTTAAAACCATCAATTAAACCTACAACACAGACATTAAGTTCTTACTTTGTTATCTGTTTCAACTTCCGTTAAAGATAAATACTTTCCTTAAAATTATAGATACCTACCTACTTCGTTGGCTCCTATGAAAGTTGATTTTACGAAAGCGCACATCATTCCCACTCCAAGTAGTTGTAATAATATCACAAGAAAGTAGAAAATAAGATCGAATAGGTACGTGGTACTCCAATAAAATTCTGGACGTATGCCACACATTAGCTGCAATTGTTTCGAAGAGGTCATATTTTCCATTTGCGGAAAAAGAAGAAAACCGCTAATTGCAAAAAGAAGACCTGCACACACGGAGTATAATGTTAATACCACTCTCTTTGTGTATTTGTAAGGTTAAGAAAACATTAAATAAACAACAGTAAAATGAAACTCATACAAACAATCTCACACATTAAAAAAACAGATCAAAATTTTTAAAATGGTATTAGATATAGTGTATTTCTTACCTAGAGGAAAGAGAAATAACCAAAGGATGGCAACTTCAGCCGAAGACTGTTGATTAAGAGATTTGGTAGCAGCTAAGACAGGAAGAGGGTCATTTTTAACCGAAATCGAATAAGATGGATCCTTAAGGGTCTTTAACAAGGCATTCATTAGCATATTCAACGAAATGGGAGCGCCGTGGAGAGCGGTATTTGAATACATCGCGTTCAAGATCGAATCATTGCCGGTTTCGTTGAATTCTGCAGCCACAACCAGACGGGTTTTGTATGAAACAATATTTTCGATTCCTTTGTTGATTATCTCATTTGATACACTGTCAACACGTAAAGGAATTCCATTCTGCTTCGAAACTACTTGATCGTAATAGTGAGAAACTTTCAACAAATCACCAGATGACGGGGCATTGTAGTAGACAAACGGTTTACCGTACAAACTGAGATCAAGTAGTAATGACGGTTCTTTTTCTATAAAATGTTCGTTGTTATTGCTCGAAAAATATACAGTTGTTAATGTCAAAAGCAGCGGCAATACTATCTGAAATTAGATAAGAAATATATGGTTGTAAAATCAATATTAAAAAACACAAAATACGATCTACTTAATCCTTACTTAAATAATTAATTCAACAATTAATCATCATCGCCGGATGAAGTCACTACGAAGAGAAACAATTGCTGTATCCACACTAAATAAAATTTATTTTGATAATTTAAACATATGATTTTCCAAAAAAGAATATTGTAGAAGTAAATATTTAAATAAAGCGCACACTTTTTATTAGTTATTGTTGCTGACGACTTCCTCTACGCAGTTTAACATAAAACAATACTAACAATAATTTCCAGTTTTTCGGTTACCAAGATCAAAAATACATAAATAATCTTTTAATAACATATATATAGTCTTTTCAAAAACAAACAAGTCGTGTACACATATTCTCCGATTTTATACCACCCCTTAGAAAAATTTAGGAAATAGTAATATTTGACAATAGTTTGATCCACTTATCACATGTTTAAATAAAATAATTTACTGAAAACATTAATTATAATGCCTCAAATGTTGTGCAAGAAAAATAATATTAGTTTTTTTACATATAAATTCTATATTTAAAATTCATATTTTATTTAGCATACCTGTAAAATTGTGACCTTTCTCATTTTTTTCGACACTAAAAACCTCTTTTTCATCAATATTAAGAACCTTTGCATGTGTAATGCTAATCCAGTTTTCTTGGGGTCAATCATGTTTTTCATATTTTCTAGAACATATCAATGTCTCTGTCAATAACTACAAGAAAAACGGATTTAACAAACTTACCACTACCAGTTTCACTCTTGCGTTCTCCTCTTTCTTTTGCAGCTATATTTTCAACTCTGCAAAAAAATTCATGAACAGAAAAGAAAAAGTTAATAATATTATCGTTTGTAATTTACCTCAAGAAAACTTCCTCCAATGTAGTATAAGTCAAGTTAATGTTCGAAATGTTCAATTCTTTCTTATTTAATTCCAGCTTTTCGAGAACCTTACTATAATCTGGCTTGTTCTCCAAGGGCAATAGTATGTTACAAGAATTTCCCCTTCTCTGCTCGATTTCCGCCTTAGGTATGCAACTTTTCACAATATTCTCTACTGTAGAAAACGACTCTCTATTGACTCGCATACTGTCTTCAGTTTCTGAATTAACGCTTACTTTCAAATGATAACCCGTTCCTAAAAATAAAGTAGCAAAACGTCTTCCTCATAAATACAAGAAAACCAGTGATAACAATTTCTAATTTAATAAGCATTTTTTTGTCTTTTATAGCTTTTACTTACCATAAATTTTCTTAAGAAACATGGATGTACCATAACAAACCAACTGTCCATGATCCATTATAGCAATTCTATCGCCGAGTACATCAGCTTCTTCCATGAAATGTGTACTAATGATTATAGTACGAGATCCTCTAAAATTCAAGAGCATGTCCCAAATTTCCCTTCGAGCCTCCGGATCTAAACCTGACGTCGGTTCGTCCAAAATTAAGATCTACAATATAGGTTTAATTTCAAGTCGAAAAAAAGTGACTTGGTTACATACCTTTGAATGTCCGATAAGTGCCATACCGAGCGACAACTTTCTCTTCATTCCACCTGAAAGAGACGAAGGCATATAATTCCTTTTGTTGTTTAAATTTAATTTTTGCAAAAGATCTTCGGCTTCTATTCGTACATCCTTGGGATCGCTACCTCGTAACTACAAAAAATCACAGTAAATGCTAATTTTTTTTTTCAATACTGAAATTAGGATTACCATTCCAAAAAATAGAAGATGTTCAAAAACAGTGAGATCTTTAAAATGTAAATTTTGTTGAGGACATAAGCCTAACAAATTGCGAATTTCATCCAAATCTTTGTTCCCTGAATTTGGACCAATAATTGTACCATTAATTTCTATTTCACCACTTGTTAACTGAATCATTCCTAAAAGATAACAATCAAATATTTATTAAGAATTGTTTTGACTGAATGACAAAAATAGAACTAAAAATACAGGATCATACCGGTTAATATGGACAGTGTGGTAGTTTTACCAGCCCCATTATGTCCTAAAAGAGCTGTAATTTGATCTTGATAAATATCCATCGAAAGACCACAGACAGCTTTTTTGGTTCCATATTTTTTATGCAACTTTCTAATCTTTATACCCGATTTTAAATAGTCTGCAGGCTCAATGTTTTCGTTAGTATCTTCGTTAATAAGTTTGCTATCGTCATCGACCTTAATTTCTCTATTAAAACGTGATACGAATTTCTTCAAATTCTAATGAAATAAAAACAATACATTATTCCTTTTTAACATAAATAAAACGACGAAACTTTACCAAAAAGGGATAATAATAAGGTTTTGCAAGACCATAAGGTCCTGGATTTATGTTATCAATATATAACGCCAATACCACGTAGAATACAATATCAATAATAAGCATGATCATGACACTCAACATTGACATGTCTTCTACACCTTCAGAACCCGCTTTCATAAAATTATTCCAATGAAGCCCAATTTCTATATAAAACCAAACATTTGCTCAATTATTACAGTTTAAATATTACTTTGCACTATTGTCATATTTTAATGTTTGTCTCTAAAGTAACTATTCAATTAATAAAAAGAACTTCATGTACCTCGGCCTTCATATACAGAAATTGCTTTGAATCCAAACTCTAACGCCATATTAGGAAATAAAGATATGATAATTTTATATGACCACTTCATCATAGGATACTGGCTGACAATCGACTTAAATACAAAGTAAGGAACGAGCCAGATCAAAATACCAGAAATCATGGCAATAGTTGCTAAAAACGACAAACAGTTGTTAAATTACTACGAAAAATAAAATTACCGTAACTCACGTTTGCTGAATAGCGTACTAAATGCAAAACTAAAGGCAATTCCAGCAACACAATAAAGCAGTAAAAAAACCAATAATATCCATGGACTGCAATGCTCAATCGGAGGATATGGTGTATCCATCATTTTAACTTTCATCAAAAATGTTATACAGCACACGGCTAACAAACTTGGAACGAACGCGTGAATGAACCATCCCATCCAATGCATCCATGATTTTAGACCCAAGATTTTTATTAACTCCTGTGAATTATAGAACATAAATAAGCCTTTAAACAAATAGTTATCGGCACCACAGAATTTTACAAAACTCAACAATTTTTTATTCCAAAAGTTTGTGTCTTCATTAATCAGTTTAATATGAATTATCGGGAAGTAAACAAGTACTCAAATACTTATTCTTATTATAGTAGGTCTTTCGAAAACGCTTTCATGTGTAGGGTTGCATGCCTTGCAAACAGCAATACGCGGTATTTACCTATTTTCTATTTTTTTCGGCCTAAGTATGGACCTTATATGTACGGACGACGCCCGACAAACCTGACAAATAAAATGTTTGTAGTTGTTAGTACCTTAATTCCTGTGTTCTTTTCTTCCACAACTCTCTTTAAAACTGACAAACACAACGTAACAAAACTAAAAACAGTTACTATTGGCAGAATATAATTAAACATATCATTTATGCCTATATCATTTAAATGTGGAGGAATTGGAAATTCTTGTAAAAAAATATTTGGTAATTTTGCACCAGATACCATTTCAATATAGGATGTTTCTATGGCTAATTGCAATGCCATAAATCCCTTTTCTATGTACACTTCTGAACCTTAAATATTAAAATATTAATTCAGTTAGATAATAGAATTGTATATTTAGAAATTTTGAAAACATAAAATATTTATTACTTATACATATATGTATATACTATCAAATATGTTACCTGTTCCAGGAATATATTGTGGGAAGTTATAATAGAGCTGGTCTGTGTACCACGTCACTGACTCTTCATGAGGTCTTATTTTATAATTTAAAAATGTTGGAATTTCATTTGCTTCTGCTAAATTGAAGACAACAGCCATAATTGTATAATTTTTAGCTGTATTTTCATAGTAGATTAACAGATCTAATTCAGAGTTAAAGCCCAGGAGATCTGAAATTGTTTAAATTTATGTAAAAAAGTAAATTGTATAGGTATTAACAAAATTTATTTAAAATTAAAAACTCATTAAATGTATGCAATAGCTTTCATGGACATCAGTAAAGCATTCGATTGTGTGAATCACAATACCTATACTACTGAGAAATTAGCGAAAATGAACATCAAAGGAATCGCCCATGGATTATTCAAAAATTATTTAAGTGGTAGGGAAATAAGAACTACAATTAACAAAGCCACCAGTGAAGAAAATAGCATCAATATTGGAGTACCATAACTATACTAGGACAACCATTGTTTGTATTCTATAACGACTTCCTACTACAACTTCAAGACATTACGACAGTGTACTACAACGCAGACAACTTTGAAGAACTCAAAATTAAACTAAAAGAAGTCACCTACTATTGACTATACAAAAACGGCCTTGCAGGCAATATACGGAAAACCAATCTGATTACATTTGACAAATACAAGGACTGAGTATCGAAATATTTCATAATAAAAATAGAGGACAAAGTAATATGTAAACACAAATACCAAGTATCTTGGACCAACACTAGATTACAATTTCAAGTGGAGCACATTAATAAATTATCTGGTGAATAGAAATAAATACTTGATTTATGTTTCGGTCTTTTCAATAGTGTCACCACATAGCTTGGGGTGGGGCTTTTAAAAGCGTACTAGAAAACAATACTAGCAACAATTTGACAACAAAAGGCCTTTGTCAATTCAAAAAAACATACAAGATAGAAGCATTGATGTATTCTTATAACTTCAGTGCAGAACATCAAAATAGGGTTATTCTAACCAGAAATAAAGCAATCCCTCTATCTAATTAGCAACAGAAACTTTTGATGACCTACCCAACAACATAAAAGTACTGACTAATAAGCATAAACCTTATCAAAAAGAAAAAAACTGAGTGGATAAGAATGGTGAAAATATGTAATACATACAGTTATGCATGGACCGTAGATTCATATGTGTCTGATAAGAAAGCAAACACTTCTACCACATATACACATACTTTCGTTATCTATTGATAAGTACACTTTAACATAACAACCTACCTAAAAATGTATTAAAATATCGCTTCTATGTACAAGTTATCAATAGACATATAAGGGAATAATATTGTAAAAACCAAGAGGTATTATAATATTGCACATTACTATTTTTGTTTTTAAGTTAGCCTAAGTAACTGTTAATTTTACTAGTATCCGCTTCCATGTACATTACACCACCTAGCACTTCCTCGCAATTAGAATAGTATAAACGTTCAAATAAATAAATAAATAACAATTATTTTGCTTACCACTATTACGAACATTAAGTTTTAACTGAACTTCTTCCATGAGATCTGATGTAAATTTTGTTTTAGGAGTAAAAAGAAGCTTGCCATCAGTGAGCTTAAATTTACTGTTATAAAAATCTGATGTAGAAATTGGTTCCATGTAAGTCGATGTGTTAACATATTGCTTTCCAAATGTTTGTATTTTTGAGCGTGTATAAGCAATTAATACAAAAGTTAAAACGGGAATAACAAATTCGCACAATGAAACAAATGGATGTCTCTTCCGAAGTAACCAATTTTTCCATAGTAACAAACGCATTTTATGCAAAAATGAAGCCATTTTAAATTTTATGTGGAATATGCTATTAACAACCAAAACAAAAGTGGCTATTCGGTTTCTGCGCACTATAAAACGTGATGGTCTTTAAATAAAATATTTTGTTTATACTTTTTCGTTTGCATTAAAATCAATCACATAATATTAAACATCTCAATTTTGCACATTTTATCGCTATTTTCTGATTCTACCGATTCCACTAGCACCATACGCGAACATGAACTAAAAATATAGTGAAAATGATTGAAAACTGCTGAAAACGATCAAGTACCAACACCCACATAAGACAGCAGTGGCCATAGATAATGCAGTGGCATAGAGAAGACCATCGACATATACTATATACGTCGATAATCAGTACTATATGCATATCATATACATATACTTTTCGTTATCTATGAATATTTTCTAATCTTTTTTACTTTAACCTGTAATTTTTGTAATGAATATGTGCGCGTGTAAGAGATAGGTTTCCATAATTGTAGGAAATAATAATAAATGATCTTACACGAACACTACAAACTTTAATCTAATTTAACAATCAACAAGCGCGAGAGAATACAGCAGATAAAAATGGCGGAACAACTAGTAGTAGACTATATCGATTATTTTTTACGCGCCACGTTTTTTTACTCCACAGTGACTAAGATCATAGACTAGTGAAAACTTGACAAGCCCGCGACAACCAACGTCATAGAAGTTAGATGTTCTATGACCATAGACATAACATGATACACTACAAATAGTTAAAACGGTTAAAACATAGATTAGTTAAAAGACAATACACTATTATCTATGCAATACACCAATAATTAAAAACAAAACCAAACAATTTTATGGGAGGCACAAGTTCTTTTTTGTCATTAATGAATCAATCAAACACCAAAGACAACCTTACAATAGTAAGACAATACGAGTAAAAGCAGGTAAAAGTCTACAACATTCATAAATTGTTAAAACAGAATAAAAATGGCAGAATATGACAAAGGAAAATTTTATGGAAGAAAGAAATTTAATAATACGGCAGATAAAGCTTCTTTTGGAAGAAGTTTTTTTAATAGTAAAACTCCCCATAAGCACGATAAAGATTTAAAAGATGGCGAAAAAACTGACAAAATTAAGAACATTAAACAACCTACTATACTCCTCAAGTCTAGGGACCAGGAAAATCGTCCTCGATCTCCAAAATCACAAAAAGAAACCGATTCACCAGCGATTTCAATTACCACCTCAACTAACCGAGAAGATAATCATGTTACCCTTGCAGAAAAAGAATTGGAAAGCAGTGTAAAGTTGTTACAAGATGGAACAATTCTTACTGAAAATGTACAAGATTATTTACAAGAAAATAATGACTTTTTAGTTATTGGTGTTGCAGGAAAGCAAGGGGTTGGAAAATCTACAATTATGAATCTTCTTACTCACAGTAAGATCACAGAAGAGATTAAGGAAGAATTGTTTGCTTTCAACTACGATGATACTTCTTTAGAAAGTGTTTTAAAAGCTGAAAAAAAACATGTTAAAGTGTTTAAAAATCTTGATTCCTTATCTGAAATAGAAAAGAATCTTAATGTTACCAGTGGAATAGACTTTTATGTAACAAATAATAGAATCATGTTTTTAGACTGTCAACCCTTTGGCTCTTCAGTTGTTTTAGAAGATTTAATTCAAAATGAAAACAAAAGACTAAACGTGATTGGTGATTTTTTACTTTTAGAAAACAGTGAAGAAATACAAGGATTACAATTATTAGCATTTCTATTATCAGTTTGTCATGTGGTTATTCTTGTGCAGGATTATTTTTTTGATAGTAATGTAGTTAGATTTTTCTTGTCTGCAGAAATGTTGAAACCAACAATTTCTAATCCTGAAGACGAGTATATGGAACATTTTCCACACTTGATATTACTTCATAATAGAGCACAGACAAGTGATTTTTCTCCAGCAAATTTTAAAAAAATGCAACATATGTACAACCTAATGTTTTCAAAATCTAAATGTCATATAAATTCAAAACTAGGTCTTGGTTCATGTCATTTGATAAATTGCTTATTCCCAGAAGATTGTTCTGAACTGATCAATTTAATCCTTATTCCTGAATATAGTGAAGAAACAGAAGTTATGTATAATGGCCATTCTTCTCTTGAAAATCTTATTAAAAAATTAAGATCTAATATTTTAGGATGTACTAAATATCCTTTGACCCATGTTCAACTTACTGAGAAAAACTGGCTTATATACTGTACTAAAGTTTGGGACCATATAAAAAAGAGCAATTTTTTTGTTGAGTATGATAAATTGTTGCCATAGTCTACTTAAGTAGTTCATGTTTATATTAGAATGTACTTAGTATAAATATTTTTATGTAAAATATGGAAGAATTTCCGTTTTCATATAAAAATTGAGAAATGTTTAATTAAACAACGTTAGTTAAAAAATCAATACTTTATTAGAAAGTTGAGCTACACTGAGAAAAATAACAATTAGATAAATCCTTAAAAATTAATTAGCGAGGTGGAGTCTAAATTACTACTTGCTACATCTTTTGAATTTGACAAAGTTTGTTCATCACTCTGATCAGCATTTTTCTAAAATGAATAACTGTTATTTTCTTTACCACATGTAACTTAGAATCTTACCTTTTCAGAAAATAGTTTTTCTTGTTTGCTATCCAATTTTGAATTAATTAACTTCATCTCTTCTTCATCATCCAATCTGTCTAAAAATGCTTGTCTGGAGTCTAAAAAAATCAAAAATAAAAATCCAAAGTGTCTTTAATTTTTGATTGAAATAGCAATCACCTGGCTGAACACATAACGCGAATACTTCGCTCTCTTTTAAGTGACCTGTTTTTGCTTTAAAATCTTCCACCTTTTGAGCTAGTTCGTCAAAAAAAGCCTTATCATCCGTTTGTACAAGACCCAGCAATTTCTGTAAAATATCACTACGTTATTTCAAATTATAAATGCATTCAAAGTTAAAAAAGAAAAAAAATTACAATAAATTTGAAGAATATTTTAGTGGCCTTTTCTCTTATCGTGCGAGCATCCGTCTGGAAACTGATCAAATTGCTCTCAGACAGGTTCCACTCCTTAGTATTACCAACATATTTTCTCAATCTTTTCACCATATCGACCACATGGGGATGTTTTATTAGCATAAGTGGATCAACATCAAGAGCAAGAATCTTATCTAAAAACACTAATGCTTGCTTAGGTTCGGCTTCATCCAGTCCGAGACAGGCCTTTATTTTTGTATCAAGTTCAACCAGTTCCTGTTCCCGCTTTAAGAAATTCAATTTTTGAGTCTTTCTCTCCAAAATTTGCAACTCGATGGATTCCTGAATCTCCTCTTCGGCAAGAGTTAGGTTCGTTTCAAACAATTTGGGATCGTCTTCTGGGTTACAAGAACCCACTTCGACGAGTTCTTTAAGAGAAATTATCGTTTTTGCTTCGTTTTCATCATATTCGGCGTGTTCGTATTCCGATTTAAAGACGGGCGGTGCATCTCTATTATACTTTATGCATATATATTGACCACTTTGTTGTTTAGCAACAACGATCTCGTTTCTCGCTCTTGAACGTACTTCTGGTGGTTTCTCTATGACAAAAAATATTTTTGTTTAAATATATAGGTACTATATTTTGTTTAAGAATCACAACCGTGTTTAAGTAGGGAAGGAACGAACGGCGCCAAATGGACATACATTATTAAAACCAATTTTTTGTAATTTGGAATAAAATTATTCTTAAAATACCTATGTAAAGAAGAAGAACCACTTTAATGTAAATTTGTCCTTCGGGATGGGGCAACTGAAGTTACTGCATTAATGAATAGAGGGAAAGGTGTTCAATAAGCAGTGCTTCAATTGGACGTTATTCGATTTCATGGCAAATTTTTCAACCAAGCATGAAAGTCGACCAATTGTAGTTTCCTTTTCTTCGACTTTAAATATATAAAACTAGATTCTGACTAATTCGAGTACTCAGAATTCGAATATCATATTCATTTTGATATAATTTCAATATTTGTTACTAAAAAATATGATCTATAAGAATAGACTTCCCCATTATCGGTCAAGAATGAATTATAATACCCAAATTAATATTAGTAAACTTTTAACAGCCTTTGTTGGAAAATTAGCAAAGAAATAGAAATACACCTCGTTAACATTACTCAAGGACACCTCCTCTATTCGATTCTGCAATAATCTCAATTGTCCTATTTCGATGGATAAACTAGCATAAGTCTGAGTTTTCTTCTTCAATTTTATATATTTCAGTCTCTGGAAATAGTGGGAGAGTGGGAAGGCAAAATCGAACTTTGTCCCAGATAAAATGTTTTTCAGGCACGGCTCTGGTTAGTATACAAGATATCCCAATCAGGAAACTTTCTCTCCTAGTATCCAAACTATCTACTAACTGTATAATACAATGCCTACATGTTTACCTTTATATTTTTCGGGATCTTTCCTCACATGTTCAGCCTGCAAGCAAGAAAAGAAAATAAATACAAAAGCGATAATGTTAACAACTACAACGACTTACATACGCAATTAGAGCTTTTAAGTGTTCATCAGATACAATTTTGTATTTTGATTTATCTTTCTTCGGACTAGTCTTTTCGCCAGTTACTTTTTCAGTTTTATCGTGATTTTTTTCACTTTTCTGATTTTCCTTGCTAAGTTCTATCTGATCATTATTTTGAGAACTCTTATCAGTCACATTTTTGGCAGCTTTACTATCATCATCAGAACCCGAATTCACGTCGTCAGGGCCTCTAATAAGTAATACAAAATTAGATAAAAAAAAAGTTAATATAAAGGTCGCATCATACTGACCTGACTTGACTTATTAATTCTTCTGATGTTAAACTGCTGTTACTTTCTAAAATACAATTAACGAACAAACATTAATAACTCCTTATTCTACAGAAATTGTCTTACCTTCCAGGTGATTATCATTACTAGATATCTGCTTTTTACTAATCTTTTTAACTGATGATTGATTATCATCAGAGGATGGTCGTTTTCGTTTTATGCTTTTTTTTAAATCAGAAGATTCATTTAATGAAGAATTAGGTACCTGAAAGAAAATGGCTAAAATATTATGCAAAGTAATTTACTGTACATTTCCTTACTGATTGATTGAGTGACTCATTAATGTCTATACTTTCATTTTGGTTTTCACTGCTACCATCTGTTCCATCTTCTTTAATAGCATTTTCAATTTCTTCTATAGCCTCATTATAATCTTTCCTTCTTAAACTTTTACTGAACTGATCCTTATGTTTCAAATAATAAAACAAATCTTCTATTTTTATGGTTCCCCTATTTCCAAATATAATATAAATAAGTAATAAAATACAAAGTGAGAATCAAATATTTTAAAAATATAAATTACATATGATTCAATTATGAGGAACAGCAATCTGGAATGAAGGTACTGATATAAAGAATTAATTACCGTACTATTGCTCACTTATTAAAATTAGAAAAAAAAACGAAGTAGTTAAAGCCAAAGCCTAATTGTTTTATTAACTTTCCAAAAATTAAAGAGGAATTAATTAATTTTTTATTGAAAACATAGCAGCTTTCTGGCTTACTATTTTGGCTTTATACTTTTCTATTTCATATAAAAATTCCTACCACCAGCTCACTAGCTAAACTTTATGATCAGTAAACTATAAACAAAAAATAACAATACAATAAATTAAATTATACTCATAAACCAAGTTCACGTTTTAATTGTAAATAACCAAAAACAAAGTTTTTAAAGAATGTAAAAAGTATACGATGTATGGTATTATCGCACGAGTTATTTCACTTTAAATCAACTCGTCGGCAAATACCTACTTTCTCTAGGACTTTTACTTTACGTTGCAATGTAAAGCTACTGACTACATTGCAACATTAATTACATACAACAGTCCAAAGTTAATATTCAAACTTGAACTTACGTTTCACCAGTGCCATAAAATTGAACCTGATACCGTTTTCCATGAACAGCAACAACCTGCAAATCAACACATAAAAACTAACCTTGCAATCAATAACGATTATTACCCTTGCTGGCCAAGCTGGATAACCCTTCACCTTGGCAAAAACTTTATCACCTACATTAAACCCTTTCCCTTTCTTCATATCGAAAATATTTTAATTTAGACTTAAAAACATCAACAATTGTCTAATTAATTTCTTGATGTCACTTTTCAGTTAGTCTATTACTGATTATAAAGTCGAAAAGTCAATCAAAATCATTCGCTGTATCTACTTAAAGAATACTCATCGCACAGTTTAAAACAGTAAATATTTACTACTTAATTAGCACTAAATTAAAACTTGGATATGCTGCACGATAAGCAAAAATGGCGGTATAGTTTTAGATCATAGATAGGTTTTGGATTCAATTGGATAACGCCAGATAACGCTTTAGTAATTGAGATCACAGAATTGTGAAACTATAAGCTATAACCATTTAACCATAGACAAATTATAACCTCAAGCGAATACTAATAAAAGTGTTTATAAGAAACATTGATTAGGTACATGATTTTAAATAAATAATAATCAAATGTCTTCTTAATTTACAACATATAATACCTACTGCAATGACTGAAAAAGTAAACAGGTTAAAATTATCGATTTGTATTCTATTTCTATTAAAAACTTTTTTATTCTAGAGAAAAAGTCAAGAATCTGGAGAAGAATGGTCAAAATATGCAAAGTATTATAATCCAATTAAAATAGGATCAATTGATGGAACAGATACAGAGCCTCATGATAAAGCTATAATTCGCGCCATTAATTCCGAATATAAACCGAATAGACATGTAAAAGGTAGACCAGAATGTACATTATTTGTTGCAAGGTTAAATCCTAAAACATCAAAAGATACAATTAAGGAACAGTTTTCAAGGTTTGGACGTTTACGTAGGTTTCGTTTAGTGAAAGATATAGTAACAGGGATGGCAAAGGGTTACGCATTTGTAGAATATGAATTGGAAAGTTCAGCAGATGAAGCATATCGCAAAGCAAATAAAATGAACATTGATGGCCAAATAATTTTTGTTGATTTTGAATGTGAAAGGCTTCTTAAGGGATGGAAGCCAAGAAGATTGGGAGGGGGATTTGGAGGTAAAAAGGAGTCCGGCCAGTTACGTTTTGGAGGAAGAGATAGGCCATTTAGGAAGCCAATAGATCTAGAGATAAAGCAGAGACAACTTTATCGTGAAAGAAAAAATTGACAATAAACGGTGAAATAAAATTATATATGTATATAAAAAAATTATTTAAAAGAGCGTATATAATCCAAGTACATAGGTGTTAATTAAATATATTTCTAAATAATTAAACAAATTTTCATTCCTAATTTGCCTGCCTCTAGTAAGTTTTTTGTTTTCTATTAATCAAAAAAATTACAAACGACGAACACTTAACTTGAAGTTCCAAAGAAAAATTATAGAGGGACAGTTTGCAAGACGTTTTGGCGGTAAATGTGATGGTTAATTTGGTAAATGCAGAAAGGATTTTATGAGATTTTATAAAATCTTAAATTTTAAAGTAATGTGACTGTGTTCGTGATAATTGACGTATAAATGCAAGTATACATTTAATTGTGTATTATAAAAGTAGTAAAACCAGACAAAAGTAAAGCAAGAATCAAAGAATTCGAGCTGAAAAGGTTATTATTCATAGGTTACTGTTACAAGAAGGTTACAGTAACCAAGTGGTAATTTGTCTATGGTGGTAATTCCCATTTAATTTCTTTGTTTATGTTTATGAATGACTCCAATTTATTTATTAATGTAACGTTTATTAAAAAGGTAACAAGGTAAAAATTATGTACTAGGTATGAAATACAATAAATACTTCCACAAAAAAAGCAGAGCAATGATTGGGAGCGATCAGTAATGATATAAGGCAAGAAATGACGCCCAGAGGATTTAAGAGGAATTCCATAAAATCCGATGGTTATAAACAAACTACATTAGTATCATACTTCAGTAATCGGAAGTTATTAAATCAAGAAATTACAAGTGAAGCTGAAAAAAATACGAGTTTGTTTACAGTTGCTTCTAAAGTTATGAGTGATTTAAGTATAACTTCTGATCAATCTAGCACTGTCATTACTTCAGAAAGAAATTTAGTCAGAAAAATCTACAGGTTAAATCATGTAGACAGTGTATATTCTCAATCCCAAGCAGTTATAAATGAAAATGAAAGTACTAAAAGCATACAGCAGTATGTACCTAAGTTGTATACTCCAATAATTCCATATAAAACCTACCAAAAAGAATATGAAAAGTCAAAGCAAACTATAATAGTGGAATCACAAGCAATAACTCCTTCAAAACAAAAAAATGTTAATACCACTAGTCAGATTTGTAAGACACCTACAAAAATTAAATGTGATTCTATTACACCAAAGAAATTAAAACTATCTCCCAAAAAGGAAAGATTTTCCCCAGAACAAAAATCATTAATGGAAAATTCAGGAATGACTCATGTACTGAAAAAAATAGTTGATAATACATTAGCACAATCTCGATTTCGTGCTTTACTAGCTGCACATGAAGAAAAACAAATTAAAATATTTTTAAATAAGAACAGTTTTTACCAGTACTTCCTTTGTAAATTAGTAACCAGGAAGCATGTTTGGTATAATATTTTCAAGTTAGTTGAAGACTTGAAAATGAACATAACTGAGTCACAGATAAGGAAAATGTATGAAGAACTTAAAGAGACTGGCTACATTAAAACAGGTTTGTTTTACAATCTAATTTACACAATAAATTGAAATATGTGAATAATTATTTGTTAGCTGTTTGTAAGCTTCATGGTTAGTGTACAATATTTTGATTTACAATTAGATAATTGTTTTGGTAAAATTAATCTTATCTATTTAATGTTTTCAGATTATTCAACTGAGGACCTTTCTTTTTTATTGGAACTTTTATCAAAAAAAGAAATCATTGGTATATGTAAAACCTTCAGAGTGCTTCACAAAGACCTTAAGAAACAAGATTTAATTAACAAATTACTAAGTACTGTCAATTGCCATCAACCTTATTTCACTCCCATTAAATCAGCTAGTCAGGTACTTAGAGAAAATGTTAATAAAACCATGGGACTCTGTGTAAAGTTGCATGAGAACTTTTATAATTTATTATACAAGTTTTATGTTCTATACTTTCTTACTGACTATTCATCATGTTTAAATATAACTGATTGGAATTATCTTATGTTCCAAATAGAACAAAATGAAATAATTTACCCTAAATTTAATGTTGACGAGAATGTTATTATTTTTACCACTAAAGAAGAATTTGAAGAGTAAGATAATCATAGTAAAAGTTTTCATGAAAATAATTATGTAATTATTTTAGATACATAAAGAGTTATGCACATTATCAGTCTGCCCTTATGGCAGATAGTAAGAAGCAAAGAGCTTTACTCTTGGATCTTTGTAAAACTGCCGCACAGGAACTCGATAAACTTCTAATAAAAAAGTATGTACTTTAGTAATATTTCTTTTTTCTATTTATTTATTTTTTTTAGTTGTGAACATACCAGGGATTCAAATGTCAGAAAGTTTTCTGCTGGGTATGTGTATGCTCACACAATATCATCAAATATAGACAATCTTTTATGTAAATATCCGAAAGATATGTATGAGCTTATAACATGTTTATTGCGGCAGAATTTGTACAAACAGTCAAAACGGGGTTATTGGTATGAAAAACTGGCATGGATAGAGTGGAAGTATTTAAAAAATCATGAACAGGTAAATTATTTGCTGCATTCTGAAGTGACACTTCTTTAGCAAGCAATGTTTGGTGTTAAATTGTCATATTGCCCTGTATTTAGGTGCAAATTTGTTGTGTGCAGGCATTCTTTATACATTATACCTGTAATAACTTAGATTTACCATTTTTTCTTTATCCCTGTTCTTATTGTTTTTAACAACAACAATAATAAAGAAGTTTCACTTCTGGAGTGCATACTGTCTATGCATATTCTTTTTTATGACTATATGTTTTGTTTATAAGGCTGTTCATACCCTGACAAAGGCTCTAATGGACAAAACAATTAATGAAGTTGCAAAACACAATTTGTCTCAGCTGGGTAGAAAATTCAAGGAAATGAAAAATGTAAATTTACTGAATTCTACTCGTGATGAGATTTGTTTAAATGTTATTGATCCTCCTGATCATGTTCCATTTAAAGAAGTTGTGATTAATGCTGTCACTGATAGGGAGTAAGTTAAACGCTGATTAATTGTTTTTTTTTACATTTACACAGTTACATAAAATTACTAATTGACTAAATTTTAGTTCTTTAATATAAAGGAAATAATTAACTATAAAACACTAAAGTTCTCATGGTCGCTGTTGTTTGGATTGGTCCTCCTCCATCGGTGAGTCCACGTTTATCAGTCGTTTCGCCAACTCGCTACGTTTCCTGAGAATGCACAGTTGTTCGCGAAACGTCGAATAAACAATACCATCGGTGGACTCCCCGAAGGAAGATAATCAATCATAGACCACGACCGTCAAGGCCAAACATTGAGCCTATTTGGGATGTGGCTAGATTGCCTTCCAGGTGATCTGCCCACCCATTTACAATTTTGCTTATCACATCAACATAACGATTTATGTATAAATGTTTTATTAAAGTATGTAGAACGTAATCAGAAGCGTGGATTGATATTAAAGCATTCCATTTTCACTTTTCACTATGTAAGATAAATGCTTTGGTTATGCAACTATAATGTGGTATAATTTAATTTTCGACGCAAATAGCAGTTTTTCGGCATTAAAATAAAACAGTACCACATCCCACCTTTTCTTTTTTTTTATCTGATTTTTTGTAATGTCCGCAGTTTTTGGATTAGATTTACATACGTATTTACCTTATGAAAATCATTTTAGAAATACGTCTGGAAAAAAGAGAAAGTACATTGTAAAGAATGACGATGGTGAACGTACATATATGACTGTAGAAGATGTTGCATGCAGTCATTACCGAAAAAGTGGTTTTCCAAATATAACAAAATGTGAAGGAAAGTTTTTAGTATCTCTGTACTGCCTGTCATTTTGGGATATAATATATGATAATAGTGTTGATGGTGTGTTCATAAGTAAACTACAGATGTATCCTTTAGACTTTTACTCTAAACAATTTTATGAAAATCGCCACATAAAGATAGATCAGAGATTGGAAGACATTGAGAGTAATTGGACTAAGATTCAGTTTAAAGATTTTCTTAATAAAATATGTCAAAACGATCCTCTGGCTCTCAAATTAAGTGAATTTGTTGATGATCCTGTGCAGCTTTGTGAAGTTATTTGGTGCATAGGTAGACAACAATTCGCTAAAATATGCAGACGATTTATTGATGCATTTTATTTATATAATTCCGGACTTCCTGACCTCTTCATGTGGTCAGTGGAGGCACAAAAAGCCAAATTTGTTGAAGTCAAAGGAGAAGGAGATAGGTTATCAATCAAACAAATGCTGTGGTTAGATTTCTTCAGATCTATTGAAGTTGATGCTGAAGTTTGTTATGTACATTGTAAGTGGTTTATTATTTCTGTAATGAATTAAAATTGAAATTATTTCAATATTTCCATTGTTTCACACTAGGCTAAAAATTTGGCTCAATGCTTCTTTTTTATTGACCATCTACCTTCTACGACCCTACTTTTAAATTTTATGGGTCATAATTCTTCCAATATTTTCACTTTTCAGTTGTCTTGAAATGCATGAAACTTACCATTACTTATAAAACTAATAAAAAAGAACTTTTATTTAAAATGCTAATTGGGTCACCTGAACTACAACACTAATCATTTTCATTTTCTATATTTATTACTCAAAAAACGATAATAAAAACTTGTATTGTATTAGTAAATCCATTATTTGGGAACTAGACTACGAACAAGTTTTAGGATTTGACAGTCTCTATTAATTAAAATGTGAATTATGAAACATAAATGTTTATTTTATTCATATGTATGAATATGCAGTATTAAAAGTACTATAGTTTTTTATTTTTAATTTACAGCCACTGGTTCAAGAGGAGGACATAAGTATAAGAAGAAAATTTATTTACAGTCTCCTGAAAAACATAATGGGAGCTGGTAATAGAAGCATTTCCATTAGTTATACAGTATACAAAATGCAGAAGAATATTGTAATATTGAAATATATAAGAAACAATACAGTGCCTTTTTGATCAAACAAAAAGACTGAGTGCTTTTAATTTTTAAACAGATTGCTATTTCTTTTTATTGCTATTGAGCAGAATTGTTTTGATTTATATCTCGCATGTTTACAATTTGTAAAACTGCCGCACAGGAACTCGATAAACTTCTAATAAAAAAGTATGTACTTTAGTAATATTTCTTTTTTCTATTTATTTATTTTTTTTAGTTGTGAACATACCAGGGATTCAAATGTCAGAAAGTTTTCTGCTGGGTATGTGTATGCTCACACAATATCATCAAATATAGACAATCTTTTATGTAAATATCCGAAAGATATGTATGAGCTTATAACATGTTTATTGCGGCAGAATTTGTACAAACAGTCAAAACGGGGTTATTGGTATGAAAAACTGGCATGGATAGAGTGGAAGTATTTAAAAAATCATGAACAGGTAAATTATTTGCTGCATTCTGAAGTGACACTTCTTTAGCAAGCAATGTTTGGTGTTAAATTGTCATATTGCCCTGTATTTAGGTGCAAATTTGTTGTGTGCAGGCATTCTTTATACATTATACCTGTAATAACTTAGATTTACCATTTTTTCTTTATCCCTGTTCTTATTGTTTTTAACAACAACAATAATAAAGAAGTTTCACTTCTGGAGTGCATACTGTCTATGCATATTCTTTTTTATGACTATATGTTTTGTTTATAAGGCTGTTCATACCCTGACAAAGGCTCTAATGGACAAAACAATTAATGAAGTTGCAAAACACAATTTGTCTCAGCTGGGTAGAAAATTCAAGGAAATGAAAAATGTAAATTTACTGAATTCTACTCGTGATGAGATTTGTTTAAATGTTATTGATCCTCCTGATCATGTTCCATTTAAAGAAGTTGTGATTAATGCTGTCACTGATAGGGAGTAAGTTAAACGCTGATTAATTGTTTTTTTTTACATTTACACAGTTACATAAAATTACTAATTGACTAAATTTTAGTTCTTTAATATAAAGGAAATAATTAACTATAAAACACTAAAGTTCTCATGGTCGCTGTTGTTTGGATTGGTCCTCCTCCATCGGTGAGTCCACGTTTATCAGTCGTTTCGCCAACTCGCTACGTTTCNGTTTAAAATAAAAAAAACAATTAATAGTAGTAAATTAATAAAGTATTAGTAGCAACAATAAAATAATTTCGGTTATGTACATTGTCATTATGATTGTAATATGTATACATTACGCATACAATTTACTAAAAATTATTTTTTTGAATAATATCGTGTAAAGTAAATATCATTTTATTAAAATTAATTTATACGATGCCTACAAACACAATTTTACTTTAATAATTGAAAAGGTATTAAATACGTGGTTACAAACTATAATCTCAAGATGTCGCTAAAAACATTTCTTGTTCGGCCATCTGGCATCTGCATTATACATTTTAGAGCAAGCGCGTTGCGGTAAAACATCGATTTGCTCGTGTGTTCATTTGTGTTTACATTTCTCGAGCGGGTTTTATTGTAAAAAAGTACATTATTGACTGAAAAACATTGAAAAAGTGAATGAGTAAAGTGTAAAGCAGTTTTTGTGTTGTAAATATGAAGCTAAACTAATGATACAGTTTTCCAACCAATTAATTGCAATGTCAGAAACGTTTTAACATTTTTGAGGCCAAATAATTTGGTAAGTTGTATTTCATAAGTTTCGTTGAATGAAACGAATAATTTACTTTATGAGCATACTGTGAAAAGAGTGTATGTGTATATTTTACTTTCGTTCATTTCGTATAGGTTAAGTGCTCACGGCAGGCAAAGGTACTGCCAATATAATTTAAATTAATTCACGCAAATGGTTGATAAACATTATAAAATTTCTCACTTGAAATACAATAAGGGTAAATAATAATGTATGTACAATAGATATGTTTGCATGTTATAAGCATCTGTAAGTAAATGCAATTTTGTTGCATAAAATAAAACAGGAATTTTCCCTGTAATATCTTACGTTATGTTTAATTAATTAAGGCAATGAAAAATTTGGTAAGTTTTTTTACCTATTTAATTATTCTAAAATTCGTTAATAGGTACTACCTACCTAGGTAATCTACTTAACATACTGTAAAACAGATGTGACAGTTGTTGTTTGTATAAATTGATAAATAAAATCATGAATAGGTAAAATAATCCCGTCTATTAATACGAAACAAAAATAGTATCCATCATCTTATTCAACAATATGTGTAGGTATGGGAAGCCGGTACTTGAAGCAGATACAATATAGTATTAGCATATAAAACTTATTATATGTACTTTCGATCCAGAATTGTGGCGAATATGTATAAATATTAAGGACGTTTAAATACTTGTCATCACTATAGCATCGTAGTAGTCAGTCCAAAGACTGGTTAGACACGTCCACTCTTTTCTATCCTGAATCAATTATTATATTTTCTTAAAACTACCTGCATAAGGCCATTTCCTTATTTTTTAGACAATTTCTTTTAATTTAGTAATTAAATAATGACTAATATTCTGTGTTATAATATATTTGTATTTGTTTAACTGAATTACTCGCCCGAAAAATGTATTTCTTCATCGAGAAATTATTATTAAGAATTAGTACTTTTCGACATATTAAATAAAAGAATTTTCTATCCTTATTTAGAGTCTAAGTCTGAGGATGATACCCATCGAAACGCGTTTTAGATTGCCTAACGTTTTTGTGGAAGTTTTGTATTTAGTGTATTTCGTACACCTATTATATATTTTAGTTTCAGTTTCGCAGTACTCCATTTGAATTTCATGTATTTCCGGTAAATTAGGTACTTACTAATTTTATCTAAGTCCTAATGCATTTATCTGCAACTACTTTTTCATATATTTTATGCGGTGATATAAGTATACTGCTAAGATTTATTCCTCTCATATTCGATTTGCTTGAAAAATTACGTTATAATTTAGTCGTCTTACAAACTTACAAAGAGATATATACCTACCTAAAAACATTTTTGATAGTAGACGTTATCGTTTTTACCCTTTTTCTAAGAATAACAAAAGTAGTAAAAAAAACTGCTTGTTATTTAAATTTTGTGAGGCATGGGGTGAGACTAATTTATAAATGAATAGCTGTCGAGCCGGGGTAGGTATCTAATATAGCAGCCGGCACGTGTTTGCGCGCGTGACTTTGTTTCATGTATCACCAGGACATTATAGGTATATAATTTGTATTTAAAGTTTCTGCCAGTTTCAAATTTTATTGTATAGTGTTGCTACCGGCCGATAGGTGACAGCACCAACCTGATATAGTGCTATTTGCAAAATTTTTCCATCCTTCGGGGACAGTATTTTTTCGGTTAAAAGGTACCCTATGTTCTTTTTGTACCCCTAACAATGTGTGTATAACATTTTATGATAATCGGTTGAGTAGTTAAGGCGTGAAATGGTAAAAAACAAACAAACTAACTCACATTCCAATTTATAATAATAGTTNATAAATTGATAAATAAAATCATGAATAGGTAAAATAATCCCGTCTATTAATACGAAACAAAAATAGTATCCATCATCTTATTCAACAATATGTGTAGGTATGGGAAGCCGGTACTTGAAGCAGATACAATATAGTATTAGCATATAAAACTTATTATATGTACTTTCGATCCAGAATTGTGGCGAATATGTATAAATATTAAGGACGTTTAAATACTTGTCATCACTATAGCATCGTAGTAGTCAGTCCAAAGACTGGTTAGACACGTCCACTCTTTTCTATCCTGAATCAATTATTATATTTTCTTAAAACTACCTGCATAAGGCCATTTCCTTATTTTTTAGACAATTTCTTTTAATTTAGTAATTAAATAATGACTAATATTCTGTGTTATAATATATTTGTATTTGTTTAACTGAATTACTCGCCCGAAAAATGTATTTCTTCATCGAGAAATTATTATTAAGAATTAGTACTTTTCGACATATTAAATAAAAGAATTTTCTATCCTTATTTAGAGTCTAAGTCTGAGGATGATACCCATCGAAACGCGTTTTAGATTGCCTAACGTTTTTGTGGAAGTTTTGTATTTAGTGTATTTCGTACACCTATTATATATTTTAGTTTCAGTTTCGCAGTACTCCATTTGAATTTCATGTATTTCCGGTAAATTAGGTACTTACTAATTTTATCTAAGTCCTAATGCATTTATCTGCAACTACTTTTTCATATATTTTATGCGGTGATATAAGTATACTGCTAAGATTTATTCCTCTCATATTCGATTTGCTTGAAAAATTACGTTATAATTTAGTCGTCTTACAAACTTACAAAGAGATATATACCTACCTAAAAACATTTTTGATAGTAGACGTTATCGTTTTTACCCTTTTTCTAAGAATAACAAAAGTAGTAAAAAAAACTGCTTGTTATTTAAATTTTGTGAGGCATGGGGTGAGACTAATTTATAAATGAATAGCTGTCGAGCCGGGGTAGGTATCTAATATAGCAGCCGGCACGTGTTTGCGCGCGTGACTTTGTTTCATGTATCACCAGGACACACGCATCTTATTTGTTCACGTTTATTGTATATTATTCAATGTGTCAGTATATATATTATGGATGTAGGTTCAGTTTGTATGTTGTTGGGCTATTTTTGGTTGAAGTATAACTGTGTAAGTGTATGTATTCATACGTAATTGGATTGGTTTTTGAATTTTGCAATAAACTGAAACGTTATCTAGTCTACAGTACAGTAAAACTAATAGAAACTGTTTTTTTTTGTTTTTCATTTGGTAAAGTTTAGTCAAAAATAGATACATGGACAATTAAATGCTGATTAAGTGCTTTAATGAGTTTAAAAATTACAGCTCTGGATTAAGTTAATAGAGCATAAGAGAAAAAAAATATTTAACAAATGAATATATCTGTTTTGGTCAGATAGTAATTAAATGCTTTCGAAACAGATCAGTTATGAATTACATATGTAGGTAAATGCTTTGTATAGTGAATAGGGCAATACCTTGGCATGAAAGAGAGCTAAATGCAAGTTTCGACAAGGAACTACTATATCAGTCACGTACTGTGTAAATATTCAGTAAAGGCTAAGTACCCTAATGAGGACCTAAATGCATTAATTAAATTACTGTTCTGTTAGTTTAAGATTACGTTAGTAGATTATGAGCAAAAATATTAATTAACAATGAATATAGGTTATTTTGGTTACACTATAATTGAATGCTCACTGAGTACCTACTTTCGAAACGGACCATTTAGGAATTAAATGCTCATTTGCAAAGAGTGTGTATTTATCACAGTGAATTATGTCTTTGGCCGACATCATCATCATAAGGTCGTCAGTCCTAAGATGTCCAACCAGTCTTAGGACTGACGACCCTATGATGATGATGATGATTTAGAAGATTCGAGTTAGGGACTGCACATTTTAAAGTATTAATAGGAAAAAACTCGATGAGGTGGCCTTTTATAAACATTAATTATCAAAAATGTTTATATACAAGTTGGATACTTACAATTAGTTCGCGTTTGATGCGACTACGTTGCGAATTCTCTGCATTCCGTAACGTAATGTAATTAATTTTATTGTATGCACACGTATTCACTCCTGTTATTATTGGTGTTAATTAATGTTTACTTAGAATCAGTTGTGACCATTTATTTAATTTAATTACGGCTAATGTCATTCAAAGTGATATGGAGGTATATACGTATACGTAGCCATGTAATAGGTAGGTATCCAACCATAATTAAAACAAGTGTGACATATATCTATCTACCACTTAATAAAAGTGGATTGTATGTATAATTTAACTCAAGTGAGATGATATTGTGCCAACTATTCTGCTCACAGTTAGGAATTTCTTCAGATAAAACGTGCAGTGGTTTTGTACGTACTAATCACCAAAATTTTTAGCAGGTGAACTTGTCTATCGTTGTATTTCGTTACCATCAAAAAATGCCGTGTATAAGGTGTTTAATTGGTGCTTCAAGGTGCAACCGACTCTTTTACATTATATTTCTACTTACAAATAGCGTATTCATTTATCTTTCCTGGAGCAGTGTTCCGTACTCGTTATATTTACGGTAACATAAAACGTCGCGAAAAAGAATCGCCCTCCGGGAAAACTGTAGAACTAAATAATTAAATTCTAGTTGCGCCCTGTCATTCGTATTTTTCTTTCAAACGTATTTAAACAAGTGGAACGGTACCTTTATGACAACGCCAAAAGAAACGAGAAATAATTAAGTTCTGCTGCAGGTTAAAAATTCAAACTTAATTACAACCTTAGGAGTAAGTCTGTAAAACAGCGCGCGTATTTGTCTGACGCCTCATTCTTTTTTAAGAAGGCTTCTTCTAATACGATTGCTTTTAACCAAACTGCCGAATTCTTTCCTTTTTTTTTTTTAAACATATGCGATCTAGCTCAAATAAAAGACAATTTGATTTTCTACTATATTTTGTGGTAGCTAATAGCAGAACTTAACATTAATAATAATATACATGGTGCCCAGTTCATAAAAGCTACATAGTTGCTGAAGACAATTTTTCAACTAATGATACTGTCTTCTTGTATTTATTACATCTTATTTTTAATTTTTTATTGGAAATCGATAGGGAGCGAATAAGTAGAGATGCATCGGATAGTGATTTTGCCGGGTACCGCATAACCGGG